ATGGTTAAGCAGAAATGAAAAGGTTTGGAGCGGTATTCCTTTTGGTGGGAATAATGTGGTCCAAAGGGCTCTCACCTTCTGGACTTCATGGCGTAGCGCAAATAACATGGATGATGATGATTCCGTGGATGCAGTGCTGTCCGAGCAGGAGAGGTGGAAAGCTTCGGCAGTGGGGAGGCTAAAGTTGAACACCGACGCATCCATTAACGACGCAGCTAACAGTACGGGCCTCGGATGGGTGTTGAGAGAAGACGATGGTCGATTCTTAGGGGCTAAAGCTGTGTGTATCATGGGAAAATATACGGTTAAGGAAGCTGAAGCCATTTGCATCCAAGAAGCTCTCACTTGGCTTAAGGGAACGGGAATGGGGGATGTTGATGTTGAAACGGACTGCTAGTTAGTTTATTTTGCTTTAAAGTCAGGATCTTATTTTTCTGCTTTCGGTTTAGTGATAGATGATGTAAAGGAATTGGCAGCAAGTATTCATGGTGTCGATTTCTCCTGTGTTAGGCAATGTGCGAATCGTGCTGCCCACACTGTTGCTCGGGAAGTCATTTCTGCGTCAGATTGCGGGGAATGGTTTGACATTCCGCCTATCTTTCTTGTCGACTCTCTTACTTCTGATTTAATGAATTAATCCTTTTATCTCAAAAAATAACATAAATTTAGTATTTATATCAAAATTCTAAATCTCTAATAGAGTAATAGATAATTTGCATGAAATAAAGTAATACTATAGCAAAATTGCATATAAATATTTTAAGCAATATAGGGAAGGAATCAGGTGCAGGAATATCTTCTTGTGCAGTTGGACGCACATTAAACATTAAAATGACGCACTTTAAGTACACAATACATGTACATTAAGCACACAAACAAAACACCATAAGAACACAAATCACGCACCTTAAGCATATAACAAAACAACTTAAGAACACAAATCACGCACCTAAGGTTTTAAAAATGGTTCACTTAAAGTTTCACATAACTGACGCACCTTAAGCATACAAATCACGCACCTTAAGATGAAAACAACGCACATTAAGAAGGAAACTCACGCACCTAAGTTTAAGCAACTACTCACATTTAGCACAAACTCACGCACCTTAAGTACAAAACACACGCACCTTAAGTACAAAACACACGCACCTTAAGCATAAAACTCACGCACCTTAAGTTTCAACAACTACTACCATTAAGTACACAACCCCACGCACCTTAAGCACAGATCTCACGCACATTATATACAAAACTCACGTACCTTACTCACAAAAATCATGCACCTTATATTTGACCTAAATGTAAAAAATTATCAAAATGTCACCGCGTTTTTTATTTAATTTATTAATATAATCTAAATATTGATTTAAGCAAAATCAATGGTTCTCGTTTCACCGTACAACGGCACTTGACACCCTCAACCGCACAGGAACCCCTTTATATATATATATATATATATATATATATATATATATATATATATATATATATATATATATATATATATCAAAACTGTAATAGACAATTTGCATAAATAAAGTAATAGCATAATAGAGTTACAAATATAATCAATACTTTAAGCCTTATATATAATACTTTATAACATAAGAGAATTTCATCAATACTTTAAGTCTTATATATAATAATACTTCATAGTACAAATATATTACTTTATAGAAAAACTATAGTAGTCAATTGTAAGAAAATAAAGTGTCTTTAATTAAATAGCATAATTGTACATATCAATACTTTATAACATAAATGTAATACGTTATAAGAAAACTGTAATAGATAGTTTTCAGAAAATAATATTATTAAACTCATATATACCATAAGATCCAAATTTAATTCTCCTGACCTGACTAGTTTCATGATTGAGACCCATGAAACGTTCTCACAAGAAAAGTTGCCAAAAATAGTTTTGTAATGTTCAAAAGGAGAGATCAAGTAGGTGGAATGATTCTTGCGAATATATTTTTTATTAAATATGTGGCACATAGTCTTTCTAATGCAATTTATCAAAAGATTATACTCCTAGATGTGAAAATGAAAATGGTATAGTTATCGTATATAATTGTTGGGGAAAAGTACAACGTCAACGCACGATCTGGAAACCTTTTAAGAAGCACGGACACTATGGGCGTATGGTAGAAAGAAAATCGGTGCCGTGTTATAATAACACTACCTTAAAAGCGTTATTTGCCCGGTAACGGTGCAGATAGTGAGGTTCGCCTTTAAGGTCTGAGCAATAGTGAGGTTCGCCTACGTGATTGCTAGTGTAAGCTATCCGTAGTTGGTCTGTGTAGCCTGTCGAAAGCGTGTCTGGGTTCTATCTGCACCCGTTACCGGGCAAATAACGCTTTTAAGGTAGTGTTATTATAACACGGCACATATTTTCTTTCTACCATACACCCATAGTGTCCGTGCTTCTTAAAAGGCTTCCAGATCGTACGTTGACGTTGTACTTTTCCCCAACAGTTAAAAGCGTTATTCGTGCAACAGTCAACCTTTAGAATTATGGCACCTTCTGTCATACTGGATCTATCAAAAATCACCGCGCTTGAGGGGAAAAATTACATTAGGTGGGCTCAAAGAATACTTATTCTCTTTGAACAATTAAAGTTGGTTTACGTGCTATATTCAGTTGCACATGAAGCTACTCCAACAGTGTTCTCTCCCTTTGGTGCTACAAAAGCTAACCATGAATCTGATTACACTCGGGTGAAGAATCGAGCGAAAGCAGTCCTGAAATAGATTACATTCCGGGTCAAGAACCAGGTGTAACTCTGATGTAGTTTAGAAATGACAATGCGGCAGCCAGAGGATACCTTCTGTCACAAATGGATGACGATTTGTGCGACATCTATGTCAAACAAGACTCGGCAAAAGTCATTTGGGAATCACTGTCAGAAAAGTACGGTGCCAATGAAACTGAAAATCAAAGTGTCATAACTGTCTACAACAAAAGGAGTAGAAAAATCAAGAAGTTCAAAGGAAGGTGTTTTGTGTGCAGAAAGCAAGGACACCGAGCACACCAGTGCTACCATCACAAGGGCAAAACTAGCAAAAGTCAATATGACAGAACATGATGAGTATTGAGTCTAAAACTTTAAATAAGTAGTTATGTTTTGAGTAACTATATTTGCTCTAGTTCTAAGGGTTCGCATGAAGTATGATTGTCTTAGTACTGAATTCTAGTTGAGTTGTCTAGATTTTGATTACTTAGTAGTACTTACTTCTTTAGTATGTTGAATACTAATGACTTTGATTGAAATAATTTGTGCATAGATATTGCTCAAACTTTTTACTAAAATTATTTGTATAAAAAATAAGATCATATATCATAGGCTTCAATTGTAATTTAATGAGAACATGGAAAAGTCATCATTCTTGAACACTCTGTCTAGGAAGATGGTTTTTAAGTAAACTTCGGTTTCACCACTCGACCTGTGAGTACTTAAGAAGTAGGGTGTTGATCATGCAGGCTAGTTAGAGCGCCACTTGATCTTCACCTGAAATGAGGATGACTTTCATATGTTGTTAAACAATCAAAGCCTTGCAATAGAAGTTGTTGAAGTACTGCAATAGTAATATTGATCTGCATCCTATGAATGCTTTATATGAGTTTTTCCTCAAGGGAATGGAAAATTGTGCAAGTGGCAACTCTGAAGTCTCATTGTTGAGAGTTTTTTTTTTCGAATAAATATGACCTCGAACATATTCCTTGTGTATGAGATTAATTTCTTATAAGAATATGATGTGAAATTTGTGATTATGTTGTTCAACTTGATGTGGCATGTGGACAACATTATTTCTATGGCTTACTAACAATGAGCATTTGTATATATATTATTTAAACTCTTGGTTGAGCCATACTGAAATACCTATAATTCCTAGTTAAAGGGTAATGGTGATCAATTGAGATAACCAAGTTTGTTGAAATATATTCAACTGTTGAGCATGTATCATTATAGAGTGCGAAGCTTCTATAATGCTCCACAAAGCAAATCAGCAAAACTCAGCCTACAAAGGAGCTAATGTTGGGCACCAAAGATCAGTCTGGGTAAGAGATCAAATACATTTGACAAAAAATTTGTAAGTTTTGCATTGTGGGGGTAATAAACTCCTTATATTTTCATCAAAAGTTTCTCTGTGGTATTGAGAATAATGATGAAAGAGAATGTTTCATGTTAAACATGAAAATCTCAAGGGATTATTTATGAGTAAACGAAGTACTCGTCAAAGTGCATGTAAGTTTGGTCAAGCGAATCAACTTACTTGAGGGCTAATTATGAGGATTAGTCGCTGACTCATTGGAAGGACTTAAAGTCCAAGTGGTAATGAATTCGTGGTGGATCCCACTTCTGTGGTCAAACGAAGCCATGAAAAGAGTTACAAAATAGTACACTAGTTGGTCATTCCGACAGTGTGTGTACTTGTGAGGTTGACCTACATCTCTTAATGAATTCATAACTCTTTGAGAAAGGGTGGTTTTATTGAGACAAACCTAATGAATTCACCGCATAATGACATGTGTACAAAGTGCTCTTGGTGACTTATACTCAATTGGGATGGTCTATGTTGAGGTAGACCTAAAGAGATCCCTAACTTGAGTAGAAAGGGCTAACTAGCTCTTATGAAAGATAATGGGTTATCCCAAGAAGCTAAGTGGCTAAGAAACATGGTGATAACCGTGCAGTTGTGGGTGTTAGACATAATATTATTAATGTTATATTTCCCTGTACTGTCTGAATAAGTCAATAAGTTAGAGTCTTATGGCTAGCCTATTGTATAGGGTTAGTTAACGTAGATTACTCTCTTATTGTATTATCTTTGCTACTGTTCAGTTAATGCAGTTGTTGTTGATCTCATCTGGTATCAGCTAACCAGGTTGGGAATTTTTCCACCACCCCCCACACAAAGCCGATCCCCTCCCTCTACCACCACGAACCACCACTCCAAACAGCCGATAACCTCCCCTCCTCCTCCTCTCCGGCGACATGTCCTCAAATTCATCGGAGCGAACCGTGAGTGCCGCCACCGGTGCCGCACCGGCGACCGCCTCTAATCCATTGGCAAGCGCTCACCACTTCGTCTCCATCAAGCTCACCATGCGAAACTTTCTTTTTTGGAGGACTCAACTGGTGCCCTTCCTCCGTGGCCAAGATTTGTTGGGCTACGTAGATGGCGAGACACCGTGCCCCTCCCCGACGATCGACGCAGCACCAACCTCCGGCGACTCCGCGTCTGCCACCACCACGCCGTCCCCAATCCCGAACCCGGCGTTCAAAGCGTGGATCAAGCAGGACCAGTCGATCATGTCCTTGCTCATCTCGTCACTTTCTGATGAGGTGATGCACCTTGCTGTGGGGAGGTCGACGTCCAAGGAGGTGTGGGAGTCCATAACGTCCGCGCTTGGCAGCTCAACCCGTGCCCGGTGTCTGAGCCTGCTCGGACAGTTTCATTTTCTCCGCCAAGGCAATAGCACTGCCACCGAATACCTGGGCCGTGCGCAGCTGCTGGTGGAAAACCTTGCGTTGGCCGGACGGCCGATTTCTTTGGATGAGCAGAACCTCTTTGTGTTCAGAGGTTTGAGGCCGGAATTTCGCGCCATGGCGCCATCGCTCACCGCCGCCGGAGTTCCCGTAACCATCCCGCAGATATCGGACTACTTGCAGGCACAAGAGTTCATTCATGCGGAGGATTTTCCGGCCACTGCAGATGGCGGCTTCGGAACTGCACCAGCAGCGCACTTCACTGGCCGAGGGCGTCGCAACCATGGCGACGGTGGCCAGGGCTCTACGAACGGCGGAGGCAGAAATCGCGGCCGAGGTGGTAATGGCCGTGGCCGTGGCCGGAACGGCGTGCCCAAATGCCAGATCTGCCGCGCGCAAGGACATACCGCCGTCACCTGCTATCAACGCTATTCCGGGTAGCCACCGGTGCAGGCCCACGTCGCCGTTTCCGGTGAAGAATCAGCTCCTGGATCGTCCACCGGGTGGTTCCCGGATACCGGAGCTACCGCTCACGCCACGCCTGATCATACCATGATGTCTCAGTTCGACGATTATTCCGGGGGTGATGTACTGCGCGTTGGTAATGGCGCAGGTTTAGTTATTTCTCGCGTCGGTCACACATCTTTACCATCTAAGTCCAAACCGTTAAAAATGTCAAATATATTATATGTGCCAAAATTGTCGGTCCCATTATTGTCTGTTCAACGCTTTACAATTGAAAATAATTGTTTCTTTGAGTTTCACAAAAACTGTTTTTTTGTGAAGGATACAATCACTCAGGAAATTCTGCTTAAAGGGTCTGCATCAGGTGGCCTGTATCATCTTCCCGTGTCTCGGTCTCTGTTCGCGTTTCTCACATCCCGCACAACTCCAGACATGTGGCACCGAAGGCTAGGCCACCCACATGCTCGTGTTCAAAGTCAAGTTCTAAAGTCATGTCCGGTCATCCCAAATAAAGCTAACACACCTGGGCTATGCAACTCTTGTCAATTGGGCAAATCATCCAAATTTCCTTTAGATAGGGTTGCTTATAGTAGTACAAATGTGTTAGATTTGATTTTTACAGACATTTGGGGCCCTTCCCCGGTAGTTTCAGAGAGTGGTTATCGTTATTTCGTTCTTTTTGTAGATGACTACTCTCGATTTTCTTGGTTTTATCCCCTACGGATGAAATCCGATATATACAACATTTTCGAGTCGTTCAGAGTCATGGTAGAACGCCAGTTTTCGCGTTCTATCAAGTCCATTCAGTCAGACTTGGGGGGGGAATACAGAAAACTACACAATATATTTACCGCTCTTGGCATTAATCACCGCCAGTCATGTGCGTACATGCACGAACAAAACGGGAGAGTAGAACGTAAAAACAGGCACATTGTTGAAATCGGACTAGCCCTCCTAGCCGAAGGTTCGGTCCCACTCCATTACTGGGACTACGCCTTTGAAACTGCCACTCTCCTAATTAACTACTTACCCTCCTCGGCTATACAATTCCAAAGTCCATACACTATTCTCCACAAAGTGCCACCGCCCTACACCTTCCTTCGAGTCTTCGAGTGTCGTTGTTACCCACATCTACGGCCATATAATCGCCATAAGATTGAGTATCGATCGGCACCCTGTGTGTTCCTAGGTTACCCACCGTCCTTTAGGGGGTATCGATGTGTTGACTTGACAACAGGAAAAACTTATATCTGCCGCCATGTGCGGTTTGATGAGTCTAACTTCCCTTTTGCAGATTTGGAAAGACAGACTCCCACTCCCACTACAACTTCTACACCGTGGGCAGCCAGTCCAGTCAGCACTATGACAGTAGCTACACCCACAGTAGATCACACGCAGTCAATTGAGGTGGCCGCAGATAGTCCAGCACCTATAGCCCAGGAGGCAGCTCCACTTGCTATAGAAGGCCCATTGGCAAAACGCCCCCGGCCACGAAAGCCCCGACCACAAGTACGAGTTCATGGGATGCGCCTACGGCGTATGACTCGGGGCTCGGGTGAAGAGTTACATGCATTGAACACCACCACTGATCCAACTTGCTACTCGCAGGCCGTAGGTCACCCGCAGTGGCGTGAAGCTATGGATCAGGAGTTCAATGCTTTGCTACACAACAAGACATGGACTTTAGTACCGGCTGAACCCAATATGAATGTAATCGGGTGCAAGTGGGTTTTCAGGACTAAACGAACTGCGGATGGCTCGGTTGAACGGTATAAAGCCCGCTTAGTGGCTAAAAGGTTCAACCAAGTAGCAGGCGAGGATTTTTTTGACACTTACAGCCCTGTCGTCAAACCGACAACAGTTCGGCTCCTCTTTTCCCTCGCTGTGTCCAACCATTGGACGATGCGGCAATTAGATGTCCATAATGCTTTTCTAAATGGACACTTAGCCGAGACTGTATATATGAAACAGCCCCCAGGCTATGAAGACCCCACACATCCGGGGCATGTCTGTCATCTGCAGCGCTCTTTATATGGCCTAAAACAAGCCCCTCGGGCGTGGTTTAAAAGGCTACACGATTACTTACTCTCCGCAGGTTTTCTTCCTTCAAAAACAGATGTATCCTTATTTCACTATTCAGCTTCTGCCTCCTGGGTCTTTTTACTTGTGTATGTAGACGACATCATCATGATGGGAAACGATGCTGCTCTCATTACTACTCTCCTACATCAGTTGGCAACAGTCTTTAAAATCCGAGACTTGGGTACACCGGGGTTCTTTCTCGGAATTGAAACAGTCACACAAGGAACAGGGATGTTGCTGTCTCAACGACGGTATATGAATGATATCCTCACACGTGCTGGGATGGCTGACTGCAAGCCACTCACTACTCCAGCGGCCGTAAATCAGGCTGTGTCTCCGACTAAGGAATCATGTGATAATCCGACGCAATACCGTCGTCTTGTAGGTGCCCTGCAGTACCTGACTATCACCCGGCCAGACCTGGCCTATTCTGTTAATCGGCTGTGCCAGTTCATGCACACACCTACAGCGGATCATTGGGGTCTGTTGAAGCGGGTTCTACGGTATATTAAGGGCACGACTACCTACGGTCTTCAGCTTTCTGCATCCACCTCGTCTGACATTCATGCTTTTTCAGACTCCGACTGGGCCGGTTGTCCGGTGGACAGAAAGAGTACTAGTGGTTATGCAGTGTTTCTTGGTACGAATCTTATTTCTTGGTTATCCAGGAAACAGCGCACTGTTGCGCGTTCGTCGACCGAGGCCGAGTATAAGGCTCTTGCGGATGTATCTGCTGAAGTAACTTGGGTTGTATCTCTGCTTCGTGAGTTGGGTATGCACACCGGCAAGCCTTCTACACTTTGGTGCGACAATCTCGGGGCCACTTATCTCTGCGCAAATCCAGTCTTTCATGCCAGGACGAAGCATGTCGAGATCGACTACCATTTCGTCAGGGACAAGGTCGCTTCTGGAGACATGGTCGTTAACTTCGTGTCCACCAAGGATCAACTGGCGGACATCTTCACCAAACCGTTGCCAGGTCCTCGGTTCACTGCTTTGCGGGACAAGCTCAACGTGGTTGTGCACCACCCTTGTGCTTGAGGGGGTGTGTTAGACATAATATTATTAATGTTATATTTCCCTGTACTGTCTGAATAAGTCAATAAGTTAGAGTCTTATGGTTAGCCTATTGTATAGGGTTAGTTAACGTAGATTACTCTCTTATTGTATTATCTTTGCTACTGTTCAGTTAATGCAGTTGTTGTTGATCTCATCGTGGGGGTGTCCAACACCTCCACCACATTGTGATACACAAACTGTCGTTTGCGTTGCAAATAACAATGTCTATGATAGAAAGAAAAGACTTACAACTGATTTATGTCTTTACTACTCTATAAGTCTTTAATGGTAGTCTATACTAAGATAGACTTGATAGAGTTAAAAGTCTATATTGAGATAGACTCGATAAGACATAAAAATCTGCAATGCAGTAAAACTTGTCAAAGTTAAAAATCTATGTTGTGATAGACTTTGACAGGGTAGAAGTCTATATTGAGACAGACATAACATTCTTTAATACTAAGGGTGTTCATAAGAAGTCAAAGAGTTTGACTTTCGTAGAACCTGCCTTTTGAGTTGGTGTGTGCATTAGAGTTCAAAATTTATCTAACCGGTGAGTTCAAGATTCATATCACTCTTGGGAAGAAAATTACTCAGTGTCACTACGTGTCAGTTCAAGATCTCAAACACTGACATTAAGATCAGCTCATTTGTATTGCTCAGACATTATCCTTTTCCTTTCCTCTTTAAGTTTGTGGGGGGTTGTTGGGAAAATCAAAGATGAAAGCAATTTTATGCGTTGGTCCAAATCATACTTTGTCCAAAATATAACTTTTTATGTGGCTGCCTTTTTTAACTCAAAATGAGTGAATCTCATTTATTAAGAATGAGGCGTGTAGCTTCTCTTTTGGACATTAGTGGCTAAGGAGTAAAGCCTATATTACTATATAATGCGATTTATCAAAAGATTATACTCCTAGATGTGCAAATGAAAATGGTATAGTTATCGTACATAATGATATCACAAGCATATATTTGTATATGATAAAGTTATATATTCTTTTACCATCAAATCACATATTATGTAGATATTATAAACATTCTTTAATATTATTTTTTATCGGGTCACGCGTGTGTGAGATCGTCTCACGGATCCTTATCCGTAAGACGTGTAGGGTCGGATCAATATAAAAATCTAATACTTATATTGAAAAATGTAATTCTAATAAGGAATTAAAGTGTTTGTTACTTATAAGAGAAAATGTAATATTTTTTAGAAAAAATGTAATACTTTTACATTTTGATATAAGAGTATTACACTTTTCCTTATAAGTAATATTGGCAAGTGTTTATTACTTATAAAAGAAAATTTAATATTTATGAGAAAAAATGTAAAACTTTTAAATCACAATTTAAAAGTATTACATTTTCTCATATAAGTAATAATCAGGGCCGGTCCTATTATTTTATAGGCCCGGGGCATAACAAAAGAAATAGGCCCTACCTGTTGTTAACATATATTTCATACATAAAATTTAAATTACATAAAGGAAAAAAAATAATATCAAATAACTTGAAATAAAATTAACATGTTTTTAATAATTTTACACTCACAATAATAATCGTAAAAAAATTTCTAGGTACTTTCACCAAGAAATAATTTATAAAAATGAATAAATCTTTTACTTTTCAACATTCTGATATTATTTTCAACAAAACATTCTTTTATCTAGTCTCACAAATCAGGGGGTTTTGTTGACTAAAAAAATTTGAATAAATAGCATATAGAATAGTTATGAACTTATGATTGTTTGAGTAAAATAATTTAAATAGAAAGCATATTATAAATGACAAATGTTTTTTTTTTTTTATCACAATGCTATTTATTTATATGT